GCTCAAAGAATTCTGCAATCCCAGCCCAGCTGTTCAAAGACTTCTGCAATCCCAGCGTCGGGTTTAACCTGACATTGTAGATTACTGATCCCAGCATGGACCCACATGGTAGACTTCTAGGAAAGGCAGCATTTCCAGCATGGGGGTAGGAATGTTGTAGATTAGGAAGGAAAATCAAAAAGCACCAGAACTTCATGTGAGAATGTCATGCACTATCTCTATAAACTACCCAGCCAAAACTTGTAGCACGTTCTGTGCTTACATCTTCAAGAAGGGGGGGGAAAGAAACAGACCTCCTAACAGTCAACTAATTACTTCCTGAAGCTGTCTAATGAGGTGATGAACATTTGACCACTGAGATGCAATTCTGTCCTTCACTGCTTCTTCGCTACTAAATAAAACGGCAACAAAAAAATTAGTAATGTTGCTTTCAGTTTGTAGTGAGGCGGCTTTGGGAATTGTTCATTTCTGTACCACCTTGAATCTTTGTAGGTTGGTGATACGTTTTCATCTTTCTCTTTGAGTTATTTGGGAAAGGTTGAGTGAATGGTGTTCTCGGAAGTTGTATTTACTTTCCACAAGTGTGTAACTTCAAAATATTTAGCTAATTGCATTAGACTCTTCATATTCAGGGCAAAATAACCTCAAAAATAGAATCTGGAGATACAGATAGTTGGAGTACGAGTTCACAGTTTTGTTGTTTGTGGTTTTAATGGAAGTGTTGTAGTTTTTCATTAGCTGTTATTTACTTCAGCATACCATGGAATTGTGCTTATTATCATCCTGATGGGAGGCCAGCTCTGGCATTTTAAACTACTTGGCTGAAATAGTTTCCTTGAGAAATTAGTTTCTTTGATATATCAGGTTAATAGCCCAGTGTCTGTAGCAGTGCCTGATTTTGATTCATCTGTCACTAACTACATTGATTCACTGTTGCATGTTTTCTTTGTTTCAAAGAAGAGGAACTGGACTATTCATGGGGCTGCATTTTTTTTTTTTTACTGGAGGAAAAGGTTATGTTACCATTTGGTCAGCTCTTAGGAAGGGCTAGGTAGTTTCCAGAAGCTGATGTAAATGGTAGGCCCTTTAAGTCACTTCTTCCTGGGACTTTCCAGGAGAATGTTGACAGTGTGTACTGGGATTGTCATACATGCACTATAAGCAGTGAGCACCAGAAAATCTTGCCTTCCCTTTGTGCCATAGGTGTTCTAAGTGATCTGCTCAGAAATGCCTGGGTAACTAAGTTGGCATATACAAAATACCAGGTTAGCCTCTTGCAATGAAGGCTTGAGGCGGTGGTTCTGTCTGTCCCATGTAACACAAAAAGCCACAGGCTGGCTGTTCTTGCAGACTACCGTATCTGTCACTTCAGCCTTTTCAGTACATGGAAAAGTAGAAGTGTGTGTCCTCTCCTTGGACACTGGATTTCTGAGGCAGAGTCCTCTGCTTACAATTGCTTTTCTCCCTCTGTATCACAAGGTATGCAACGTTCTTAGCTGGGCTTTATTCTGCTCCCTAGCCTATACTGCAGGCATTTCTAATTTACCTGTTTGGTTTCTAAATTGAGAAAGAATGCAACACCTGCCAGCAAAGAAAGGCAGAACTAGATTTGTTTTTTCCACAGTGACACAAGGCTGGCTGGGGCTTTGCCCAGGCAGGGCTTTGAATTTGGTCTAGTGCGTGCCTAGAGTTTCTCTCTGCCTTGCATTTACCAGCAAAATTCAGACTGCTGCTTCCAGACTTAGAAATTTAGAGAGTCCTTGACCAAATGCTACCTTTGCACTGCCCAGTTTCCTATGGACATGGGTTGTAAAGCTGCAACAGACAAGCTAGCAGCAACCTGGGGGTGATCAGGAATAGCTGTCACGGTGAGCATGGTGCAGCTTCACTGAGTGTGTCATTTTTCCAGGGAAGAGAGATGACTGCCTACAGTGTTGTGTAACAATGCCACATAATACTGTAATGATGAGTTGATGTTGTTGCCTTTTTTTTTTTTTTCCCAGTTTTCCTTCCAATGTTATTTTTCAGTTTGCACTGTCAGTCTTTCTCTCATTTCTTTCAATGAAAATGAAGATGTTTGGGCCGTTGAGCTTAATACAGAGTTTGTAGCGTGTATTCTCTCATCTTGAAGTAAAAACTATTTCTGTTTTATCAGTTAAAATTCTGTTCCCAATGGTCATGCATTGGACAACTTCAGAATGTTTCATCAGTAAATGTGGGCACTTTATTTGAGCAGTGGTGACATACATCAGGGAATGTGGAAGCTGTGCCTGTGAGCCCTGTATCTATGTATCAGTGAATTTCTTTTTGAAGCAGATAATTGCAAGGATTTAAAACAAAAAAATATATAATCTTTAGCCTTTGAGAGTTTTTTGTATCTCTACTGAAAGTTAATGCCACTGCACTTATGCTGTGTTCCATTATCTGTGTGTTTCTGTTAAGACTAGGTCGTCTTGAGCTGCTTGATATTACCTAATCCTTATATAAACTCAGGCAATATTGCTCTGAAGCTGACTTGCATTTTCCTCTTTCAGTCTTTCCTTTGTGAGAAATCAATGTCAACATGTAAAAGTTGGACATCTACAGCTGTTTCGCTCCATTAATTGAATTAAAGAAAAATAAGCTTAGTACATCACTGTTAAAGCTTTCTGATGTCTTACAAAGGTGTTGCACATTTTTAATACAGAGTCTAGCAGTGTGTTACTTGCATGCAGTGAGTGCTCTAATTGGAAACCTAAGAGGATACAAAAGATTTCTAGCACCGTTATTTTTAAGTTTATGGGATTTTTCATTGACAGTCCTTTGGATTGAAGCTGGGAATAAAGTACAGAAACGTTGAAATGTTTCTTATTGGTTCAGAGGGTTGTACTCAGTGCTAATCATGCATCACATTTCTTGAAATGCTGAAGTGCTCCCAATTGGCAGCTTTTGTGACATAAATTCCTGCAGTATTGTTGATGACAAAGCTCAAGGAGCTCTTCTGTTCAGTAGCTCCATCCTTAGCAGAGGGAAGAGAGGATGATAGCTGGTGCAGCTGGAGTAATGGTACATGTCAGTAGGTTGCTAATACCTGAAGAGGTAATTCCTCGGAATGGTGTCCAAGAGAGTCCTTTTCAGCAAGTTTTCAGAGTTAAGCTGTCCTTTTTCAAGAGCTAGAGTTTCCTGTCAAAACATACTGCTATTCCAGCCTATTGCAGAAGTGGTGGCTGGAGAGCACCGAGTGCCCTAATATACCAACCTGCACAAAACAAGGGAGAGTCTTTAAGGTGGAGCAGGATGCCAGGAGTGCTTGGGATAGGATGGCTTTCCCTTGTATTTAGTACAGATCTCAAGCTGTGTGAGGCTTTGTTTTGAAGAGAGCAATCTTTCCCCAGCAGATGGTGCAAAGATCCTTTCCCCAGTGAATGGTGCAGAGATCCTGTCTCCCTTTACTGCTTCCCTACATGCCTCCTGCCCCTGGAGGCATACTGTTAGTCATAGTTTCACTGACATTGAACTATTTGGCATCAAAATGTTAAGAACTTGTTTGTTTAATATGAAAATAAAATTCTAGAGAGATTTGATAACTAGGAGAGCTAGTTTGCTTTCTCTCCCTTGATTTTTTTCCCTGCTGTCAAGAAAATGTTCACCAGTACTGCAAAGAGCAGCAAAAAAAACCCAGCACCCGTATCTCACATCCCTCTTGTTATGTTTTTGTAATTGTGTGTTTATTTGTGACACTTACTAGCACCTAGCAATTACTCTGGTTCCCTTCACGTTAATCAAATGCGCACTGTCCCGTATGCATTGAACTTATTAGATTGCCTTCCTTCTTGAGTAGCGTTCTCCATGATTGTTACAATGTGAAAAGAACCTTTTATTTTGTTTGTTTGTTTGTTTTAATCATTCTGTCTTATATTGGCCCTTCGTTTTGTGTTGGGATGTTAAAATCCAGCCCCTTACAGAACAGGAGGAGAATGATTTCTAAAATCCTAGACGCACACGATGGAGAAAGCTGTGTCAGTACCTCACTGTATGCAAAAGGAATTTGTGGCTCTAGCATCTAGTGGACAAAATACTATTGTAGCAGCACAGGAAGAAAAAGGTAGCAGTGGAGTCCTAAACCATTCATGGCTTTATTGGTTGAGCTGTACTTAGAAATACTCAGACATATGGCACGCTGCAGAGCACGGGTGTCTGAGGATCTCAGTAAAATTAATTTTTCAACAAGCAGACAGTTGCGCTCTGCAACACCTTTAGTTCATACAGCTCTTTGTGAGCTGCTGGTATCTGGAGAATCTAGGATTAGACAAAGCTGATTTGAGAAAGCAGTGTTTTAATTTGACGTGGTGATTTTAATTCTCCTCACAAAAAGCAGTTTTGTTATACAAGGTCTATGAGATGAGTTTGTTTGGCTTCATTTTAGAAGTCAGTGTGGCAAAATGATACAAGTGTAGAAAATTCTGATATTTAAGGGTACTATCACATGTATTTCACTTTGTTTAATTACACAATGAGCCATGGTTTAGGAATAATACAGGAACATATTTAATCTTGAACACAAAAGATTAACAGAATTAACATAAATCCTGAATTTCCTTAGTATGGTCTTTGATGTGGTGCGTGCAGTTATAGCAAGGTGGAACTGGTGCAGTCATTTCTGAAATACAGTAGGAATTTGTTTTTTGAAACTTAGATTTTTCTCTTCTGTTGAGATCTTATAGCTTGTTAGGAGGAGTTCTAGGCAGTGATGATTTGTAAATGTCAGGTGAGATAAGCTGAAAAACATACACCACCTCTAATTTCTCAGCTTTGCTAAGCGGTCTGAGATGATTGTGGATCCAGGTAAGATTTCTGAGATTCTGGAAGCATTCGATTTACTTCAATCACTTTTTCTCCAGGTGGTTTATGAAGTGTAGAACTGAAAACATTCCTTCATGTCATAATTTGTGAGTGGAAGAGGTCATATTTATTTAACTGCGGTAATATTTCTAAACCAGTTTTGTTTTGTTGTTTCCTAGTGCTGGCCCCAAAGGTGATAACATCTATGAATGGAGATCAACCATTCTAGGACCTCCAGGCTCTGTCTATGAGGGAGGTGTTTTCTTCCTTGACATCACATTTACACCAGAATATCCTTTCAAGCCTCCAAAGGTAAGAGACCTGTAATTTATATCTTCTGTTATGAAAGTTCAACAAACCATTGAGTAGCAAGCAGTATTAATGGGAATGCAGCCCACATGAAAGCCAGTTTTGGTTGAGAAGGAGCTTAAGCTCATTTCAGATATTACGTTGGTTTCTGCTAACTGATGTTAATAGCTTTTACAATCCATTTCATCCCTACTTTAAAATCTGTTGGGTTTTTTTTGCCTGTTTTTGTTTGTAAGAGATCTTAAACAATTAATTCAAGCATCAGAACAGGTCTGAGAAACTAAAAAGTAAATAAACTTGGGTAGAGGGTGAAGGATAAAAATGAAAGTATTTGTACCTCAAAGTACTCAGTTACAATAAGCATTATGGTTTTGTATGTTTGTACTACTCTAAAGCAGCATTTAGTTTTTCTGTTTTGTTGGGTACTTGAATTGTTCACTTACCTGTACAAATTTTTCTATAGGCGTGTTATATTTGTGAAGTTCTTGTATTCCAATATTGTTTTGTTCTAATGCTACAAGGCAAATATCAATGTAAGTGAATGTTATCTTGTGGTTAACATACTTGGCCAGAGAAAGAGAGTTGGGTTTCAAGAAGAGGTGGCTGTGGACATGCTTCATGTTTGCCTTGTATTTGAAAGCACTTACGTGTATGTTTAACTTCTTAAAAGTAATTGCAGTGATAAGGTAAACACCCATGACTGTCCCAGATGGCTTTGGTCTAGTCTGTAATAGAAAGGACTTGTCATAGTCCGGGCTGTCAGAGGAGACCAGGCTAGTTGGTTGTACTGGCCCTAGAATCATAAAATATCCTGTGTTGGAAGGGACTCACAAGAATCATCAAGTCCAAATCCTTGCTCCGCAGAGGACTACTGAAAATTCAAATGACTTTTTAAAGCATTGTTCAAATGCATCTTGAACTCTGGTGGGCTTGGGTCCATGACTATGGCCACACGGAGCCTGTTGTTCAGTGCCTGACCACACTCTCTGGTTTAGAACTGTTTCCCACTACCCAGCCTTACCCTCCCCTGTTGCAGCTGCATGTCATTCTCCAGGGTCCTTTCACTGTCACCAGAGAGCAGAGATCAGTGCCTGCCCTTCTGTTCCCCTCATGTGAAAGCCGTAGGCTGCAAAGAGGTCTCCATTTAGTCTCCTCTGCTCTGGGATGAACAATCCAAAGGACGTCAGTTGCTCCTCATATGTCTTGCCCTCTAGACCCTTCACCATCTTTGTAGCCCTTCTTTGGACACTCTCTAATAGTTTAATGTCCTTCTTTTATTGTGGCGCCCAAAACTGCACGCAGTACTTGAGGTGAAGCTGCACCAGCACAGAACAGAGTGGAAGATCCCTTCCTTCCCTTGATGTGCTAGTTATGCTTGCTTCCCAAATAGAGGAAAAAAATGTTCATCTGTTCTTGCTAGCCTAACTACATAGTTTCTGGTAGTATTAACAGGGCTTTAAATTCCAGCCCTAAGTTAGGGCTCAGATTCACAAGCAGTGTTGTCTACTTTAGACATCACTAAAGGTTTTTCTGCTGAGCACCCGTCCATCCTTCTTTGGGTGCTCCCTGACAGCATGGATAAATCTCTTTTGTCTTATGTTAAAATTGATTTCAGTTCAGAATAGTTTTTCATCGTTTTGGTTTTTATTAGTTTGTATTGGATATTTTAGTCTGACTATCCACAGTATTTTGCTTGAAGAGCCTAGTAAGCATTTGAAGAGGAAGTTTTATTATCCCTTGTATGCTTTGCCTTGTCTTTGCTTCCTGTGCTCCTGGGGATCCCAGGCTTCTCCAGCCTGATGCCTTAGCAGACCTTACATACCTACCAAGTGCTCAGCGTGAAGTTTCCTGACACAAAAACCAAGTTACAGTTGTGTCATCCCTGCTCAGCCCTGCTTTCTATTCTGGGCCCGAGATGGTGATCTCATTGCCTTTATCTTTGGATCTAAACCCTCACCCAGGCAAAAAGAAGGGTGGGATTAAAAAAAAAAAGGCACTGCTTACTGAGGCCTTAAAATGCTGCTTTAATGGAGATTTGTTATATTGTAGCAGTTGCATTTAAAGGGAGTCTTTCATCTAGCAGTAGTCCTAACTGGTTTACAGACAACGTGTATGTATGCAAATAAAATATTAATCACCTCATGGAGATGGGTTGTAGCAGAAAGAATAGCAGTAGTCTTACAATGTGCTCATACTGCTTGGGTACTTCAGGTTTAAATGAAGACCCTTCACTGAGATACATGGGTTCTTACAACGTCTCCCGTGCTGATACCCATGCTAGTGTTAAACAACAATAATGTGGGAAATATAATCAAATTGTTCCTGCTTTCTTCCTATGAGTTTGTTGATTTCAGGTTGCCCAGATGCAGTAACTGATAAATACTGTTTGTGAGTCATTTAGAAGTGGCAGGACTAAAGTGGTTACCGTAGACTTCCTATATTTGTCTTTTAGGACAAGAGGAAAAGAAACAAAGCAAAACGCAGTATATCATTTTGATCACAAAACACTGGTAAAGTAGTAGAATGGTCAAAGGCTATCTTGAAAGCCTTGACCTCTGAAAAGATTAAGCTGTCTGGAGTGAAAGAATTAGTTTCCCTTGAATCTTTCTTCCTTGGCAAGGCTTCAAAGAAAAGTGGAGGAAAACTTCTGCTGTCTCTTTGAATCTTCTGTAATTCTTGGGATAACAGTCCCTACTGCCCATAACAAAACTGCCTGTAGCAGAACACATTTCCTAAATTGAAAATTACTTTTCAGTAAAGGATATACCTTCTTAAATAGGGTGAGAAGAAACTGGTTATCCTGGTAGGCTACCAATCCCAGAGGAACACCAGTGAGAGAAGATGCTGAGACATAGCCAGTGTTGGCAGATGTCATATGCTTGACAGGCATCCTCAAAGTGTTTGATGAAGAATATACAGGTGCAGCCTTTGTGGACTGAGTGTAGCTCCAGCTGAAGCTTTGAGTCAATATGTTAGAGAATCTAATGGAGCAAACTTCTGGTGGAGGATGCTGCTATAGGGAAGCCAGAGGGCCTGTGATATAAACATATTCCTTGAAGGGTAAAGAGAGGAACTGTACCTGAGGCTGGATAAATTAAAGGTCTTAATGTTTGACTTGGAAATGTATTGTGCACTAGAAGGAACTTCATTGGGAGAAATCTCTCTCCTTTGTCCTAGCGATATGTAATGGAATTATTTTGCATTTATTGAGCATTCCACAGAACACTTTGAAGATATTAGTATTAATCTGTTCTCCGCTTCTATGTTTTCTGACTTTATGTGGCATTCCGGTTTTGCCTTTGTTTAAATAGCAGTTGAGTTGGGCACAAGCTGGGTGGGCCCGGATTCAGAATCCAACACAAAAATAATTAGATTTTAAAGAGTTCAGTATTTAATTCTCACGATGATTGCTGTTCTTTGGTACTGTTACCATGCGTATTTTCCCAAGTGTTGCATTACAGTTAAACTTCATTTATCAAGGTGAAAACAGTATCTTGTGTGGACCTGGTGTGTGCTTTGATCATTTGTATTAATAACCTCTAACCACTTCCTTCCCCCCACTCCCGTTTTACTGCTTGTGTAAATTAACCTCTGCTATCACTTCAGGGTAGAGTTGAGATTTGCTTCTTTATGTCTTTCCAACAGCTGTGCTTAACTCTGTAGTTGCTGCATTAATGTAATCTCAGGTGAGACATTTCCAAAGGACTGCTCTGTTACACTGTATTTTTCTGTTCTTCCTCATGCTGTTCTCTTGACCCTGAATACATTTCACTACCTTCTGATTGGGGTCTGAATCTACTACTTATGTGGGTTCTTTTATTTGTTTTATTTTTTTTCACTTTAACAAAAATGTTTACTATACTTTAAGCATTGTTTTTGTTTTCTTCTTAAGTGGGCCTGCAATTCCTCCCCCTCTTCTGGCTTCATTTGGGTTCCCTGCATGGCTGGCTTTTATACAATCAGCAAAAATTGCAAATAGCAAACAGCTGGACTATATGTGTCTCGCACCATCCAAGTTCTGACTTGCTGCTTAAGTGAAAACAAATTCAGATTTTTCTCCCCGTGCTTTGGTTAGGCAGAGCTTCTCTAACTGGAGAAAACCAATCCTGGTGCCATGAATATAACCCTTAAGGGTTTTGTCTTACGGTTCCTTAAGGAAGCAGGCTGCTTTGCAAATATACTTTGTTTATATGTACTTTGTGTAAATATATTTGCTTTGCAAATAAGTTCTTCTCCACCCCCTTCTGTTTTTCCTTCTTCCCAAATACTGTTAAAAACTAAGTCTAATTCCTAGCAATAAATGTGATTTTTCCTTTTTTAATGTCTGTTTTTAGTTAGCTGGACTGAGGTACTGTCTAAGTTGCTTTCTGCAATTTCAGTATTTAGCTTTTATGCTCAGAATGGGGATTAACTACTTTCTGCCTTTACACATTAGAATGCTTGACCTCCCTATTAGTTTGGTCCTTATTGTATCAACTTGGAAATACTCCACGCTTTCCGTTCTGGAAGTGTTTAATCTGTTAAAATTATTACCTCACCTACATTTAGAAGCGTTCTTGGAAGAGGACCAAAGCTGCATGTCAAATAGAGAAATAGTGAGCAATCAGTGGGCTGGGCTGAGGGCTGCTTGGGAACCAAAGACAGAAACATTACCAACAACTGCAGATGCCACAAACTTCAGGATTTTCTTAAAGGAAACCGTATGGGTTAGGGCAGATATCTCAGAGTCACGTCTGCCCTCTGCTCAGGCTGATGTGTACAGACTTCCACGTGACTGTAAGGAGTCCTTGCTGCTCTTTCAAGGAGGATTAGATGATCTCAGAAACAAGCATCATTCTGGTTTCTTACCTGCTGTACCTCTGAGGCTCATAGGCAGCTGCAGGGGTTCTTGTTTGTGGAGCTGCAGCTTGTTGCACGAGGTGTGGGATACACACACTTTTTTTTTTTTTTTTTCAGACATTTTGCTACTTCCACCTTTATGTGCAAAAGTGTGGGGATTTAGGAGGATTGTGGTGTGTGTGTGTGTACGTGGTGGTTTTTCTTTTTTCTTTCCCTGTTTTAGTGTAAAATCCAAGGATTTTGTACCTTGCAAGGTACAAAACAAAGGCTTCCTACGTGTGCAGCATGGGTGTCCACTGTGTGATAAGTAGCTGCGGTTGTGAGCCCCAAACCAAAAACAGCAGCATTCCGTGCATCAGAAATGGGGACGGATGTGGGACAGGGAAAATGGGAGGCACTGGGGGTCTGCAGCTGTGTGACCCCACGCTTGCTCCTGGAGCCTGGAATAGGGAAGTCATGAGCCAAATGTTTGCATCAGAAAGACTGCAGGAAAAAAAAAGTATGAGGGTTGACTGGCAGGTTTTCTGTGTTGGCTGGGTTAGCCTCCAGGGAAAGCACCAGTGTGGTGTTGTGCCGTGCCACACGCTTACCAAATGCGTTTCGCAAATACCCCCATGACCTATAAACAGACAGTAAAATCTGTGGGTGTGGATAGCTGACAAATTCTGAGGATTTAGGACATGAACCCAACAACCTTTATTCATGCAGGTAATCCCAATTCATGTAAGTTCCACCAAATTCATTGTTGCTGTTCATCAGGCACATCACAGCGAGGCCTTGCTGCAGGTTTCATTGTGTTCCCCTGCAATGTCTTGCGGTGCTTTTGTTTCCCTTTCGGATAATTCACGTGGCACGTTGCCCAGCACAGTTGCATCTCCTAAATTTAACGATAATAAAATCCAACTGGCGTCTCTGAACGGCCAGAGCCGCGGCTCCACAGCACCGTGCCGTAGCGGGAGGCTTTTACAAGCGTCTGGGAGCCCGAGGGGAGAAACAGGTCGGTGTGCGGTGTTCGAGCACCGGGGCCCTGTGCTGCTACGGGGCCGTGAGCCGGCTCCGCTCCCGCCCGCCTCATCCCGCCGGGCGCCGCCAGAGGGCGCGGGCAGCGCGTCCTGATGAGGGAGGGCCCGGCGCAACCCCCCCGCACCGAGGGCTGGCGGGCGCCGGGCTCTGCCGGCGTGGGCTCCTCTGCGTTTATTGCCGGGTTTAATTCGGCTTTTTACTGCCTGTCAAATCAGAACTACGGCTGTTATCGTTTATTACCGCGTCACGTGTGCTGCCGTGTGATGCCAGCACACCATCTAATAGTCATTTCTTGCAGGTAACGTTCCGGACAAGGATCTATCACTGTAACATTAACAGCCAAGGCGTCATCTGCCTGGACATTTTGAAAGACAACTGGAGTCCAGCATTAACCATTTCTAAAGTTCTCCTGTCCATCTGCTCCCTCCTCACAGACTGCAACCCTGGTAAGCGCCCTGCCCAGCCTCCTGCTGCCTTGCACCGCCATCCAGCCCTGGCTCATCCCACCATCCTGGGGAGAGGGGCTGGAGGAGGTGGCAGCCCTGCACCCCCCAGCTGCTGCACGCACCTGTGCTGCAGGCAGAGCTGCTGGGGAAGCTGTGCTGCTCCTCCTGCAGGGGACAGCTTCTTCCTTTCTAAACCTGCTCTCGTTATGGATGAGGGTTAAATACCTTTTGCCGCTCTGTAAAATTGCAGTAACTTCATAACAGCTATGAAAGACACAACAGCAGCTGCGAAAATCACTGGATTAGCCCTCTCCATTCCACCATCTATTTAAAACCAGTGACTGGCCAGGCCAGAAGTAATCCTCTGCTTCCCTAACCTCATCCCTTACCGACATGAGTTAAGGGAAATCTGCCTTTGTTTACAAAGTCAATTTCGGACATCATAATCCTATGTAAGTCCATAAAAGATGGGAAACACTGGAGCTCATGCTGCATTATGTATAATAAAATAGTTGTTTTATTTCTACAAAACCTTTCCCCACAATCTGATCTTTCCTATAGGCCAGATTTATGTCAGTACAAGTACACTTAGCAATGAGTACGTCTCAGGCAATTTTAGAAAAGGTAAAATAAACACGTGAATTAGTGAAAGTTTTCAGGAATGCGAGATATAACTGTTAGGTGACTATTGGACTGTTGTCTTTTAAACTCCTTAACATTTCGCTCAGTATTTCCCACTTTATCAAGCAATAGATCTCTACGTTACCATAAATAAGCACAAACTGATGAAGATACAATCAATTCAGTATATTTATATTGTTGTGATGTACTTGTCTTTATTCCCTTGCATTAAATTCGAAATAAGTCTTTTTTTTCTTGCCTTTTCAGCTGACCCCCTGGTTGGAAGCATTGCCACTCAGTATATGACTAACAGAGCAGAGCATGACAGAATGGCCAGACAATGGACCAAAAGATATGCTACATAAATTGCGTTTCTGTCAGATTTACATTATTTGTCTGTGATGGAAAGAGCTGCTTATGATTTTGAAGGGGTGGGGGGGAGGGAGGGTGCTGGTAAAGAGTAGGGTATTTCTATAACAGATTTTATTCAGTCTTTTATTTCCTAAGATTTTGTTGTTGTAACTTAAGGTATCTTGCTACAGTAGACAGCTAGAATTGGGAATAGCATATTTTAAGACTGTAATTAGTTCGGCAATATTAGCTCACATATAGTACCGAGAAGAATGTAAACTTAGGTTTCTTTGGTTTTCAGTTTGCTTGCATTATGTAAAAGATAAAACAGCTTAATTTTGTACAGGTACTTATGTTGGCGTTTATGTAAAAGTCCTTTCAAGACTCTACACACTGTTTTTTGCTTTTTGTTTTGTTTTTGGTTTGGGAGGGTTTGGTTTGTTCATTTGTTTTGCTTTGTTTTTTGTTTCTGTTTTTTGTAAAAAAAGATGTTGGGATTGTTTTCCCCTATAGAGGGCGCATTGGTATTTAACAAATGCTTTTTAAAGACTGTCATCTCATGGTCTGTGATACGGAGAGGGGGATATATGGCCTCATATATGAAATGAGAAGTAGCTAATGTATTATTTTATAAGCCAATCTATCTTTGTGAGAAGAATAAAAGTTTTAATCAGGACTAATGACAACTTGTAGTGAAATACCTTAAGCTGTTTAATTGTAAGGCGTGGAATAGGAGTCACTCGGTGGATTGGTTGTATGTTGTGGGCTACTTAAGTCTGCATTTGTTACTGTGCTAATAAAAAGATGTTTAAAAAAAAAAAAAGAAGAAAAAAAAAAAAAAAAAGAAGAGACTTCTGCTTAGTGTTAGTGCCTTGCTTTATCACTTTGCCAGAACAGTGTCTCCCAGTGCACTTCAAGGCTTGCATTCCGTATAAAGACAAGTGAGCTGTGCAGGTGAGTGCACCATCTGCTTCTGTTTTGGGAAGACACTTCTAGACAAGCGTACGGTGAATGACAACACATTCGTTGTGTAGGTGTTACACAGGCTCCTAGAGCCCCTGGTTAGTCTTCAGCTCAAGTTTTCACAGCATTGTCTTTTCAGGAGTGTTGCGTTATACGGAAGTATGATAGGAAGAGCAAAAGTACAGTAGAAAGAGAAATGGGCAGAAGGAAGGAGGAAGAAGAGAATGTTCTCGTGGCTTTCTGATGGAATCATCAATTTCCACGTGAAAGAGGAGAAGGAGTAGTGTCCTGGGAAGCCAGACGAAGACACCATAAAGGAGGCTTAGCCTGTAGATCCTTTAACTAGCTCGAAAGATTATCTCCCAGAGATATAGTGTGTACATTGAAGAGTGTGGCAACGGGGTAGTTAGGTTTGAACGTGGCATTTTTGACCACTCCCTCAAAGTAAAGGCCGGAAGCACAGATTCTTTTTCACATGACAAGTGCATCACGTTGCAGCATTCTTCTGAGTGTGATGTGTTTGTCTGTTCTCACGGATTTATTTTTGTACTTTACATTCCACATGCATTTGTTTTATATGCTTCCTATCTATTTAAAGATCAAATCTAATTTGGTCCCAAGGAGTTTACGTACAGGCACCTCTCCTTTGTTGGGTAGTTGTAGGTACTAGAAGATGTTAGCCTCATCTGTTAAACTGTCTTCTTTCAACAGAATATGTGTCCTGGTGTGTGGGTTCCCACAGCTGTTCAGCTCAGCCTAGAAAAATCACTGGTATATAGCTACATCACACCAGGAGCATCTCTGGTAAGGGACCCTTAAATTCATTCATTCCTCCCCTTCTCTGTGTGAGGATGTAAGTGACTTCTGTAGATTTTTGTCTGTTCCTTGCTTTGTGCTACCAGTACATGCCAAATTAATTCTTGCAGTTGGCAGTGGAGGGGAAGCTAAATTAGGGTGGATAGAAATGTAACAAATGAAGAAAGGAGCTTCAATTTGCCTATTACTTTTTCTTTTTTTTTTTTTTTTTTTTAATTGTCATTTTGTGAAGGGACTGTCTAGCATTATAGTACATACATGATCCTTGTGACCTAGGGCAAACTTTGAATCAGTGAAACAGCAAAGGGCAAAATACATTTCCTGTACGGATGTACTTTACTTATTAACTGAAGGTAAAACTGCACTACAGTTTCACCAGCCACTGAGTGCAGATTGTTTGCAGAGGAGAAACTACCATTTCTATTGCTGGCCAATAAAATACTGTGCTGTTTAGAAAAGGCAGTTGAGTGCTTAGAAAGCATCAGGGTAAGCCTATTAAATAAAATAATGGGTGGTGGTTGTTTATGCGGATGCCCAAAATGATCTGGAAATGAGTTTAACTAAATCAAAGATAACATGTTAGACTTTATGTAACCTGTTTGGAAACATAATGTTAGTCATTTAAAAGTTCCCTTTTCCTCTGCTATTCTTAAAGCATTGCCGAGTCCTGAGTGTCAAGGGGGTGAGTGAGCAAGCCAGCCTTGTGTGACCCAGCCCCTATAGACCACAGGTGACGTCTGTCCCAGCAGAACTGGTCAGGAGCTGGTCATCTCCATTCCTTCCATCTCCACAATTTAAGCTAATTTGGACTGGTTTCACTTGTTGGCCCACACTCCCTTTGCTCAGGGATCAGCCTTGGTAACAGTGTGTAGTTAGCAGAGGTGTTCTGTATTTTGACTGATACAGAGCTGAATTAAGTCCTTCCCTGGTAAAAGGTTCTGCAGAGCTGAAGAGCAGGACGTATCCAATTCCTCAGTGAAAAGCTGCAGCAAATAGGTAAACCACAGCTGCTCTGAACCACCCCACTTCCCAAGTGCACAGGCAGATTCTGTGCATGCAGTCTTCTGGGTGGGGAGAACCATGAGTACACGTGTATTGTAGGAAATGAGTGAGGAGGGAGTGTTGTTCTGCAGCATCGCTGGGGATGATGACTATTAGTGGCCAGGCTGGGGGAGGTCGTGCTGTAGTGCTTACTCAGCTGCAGTGTTGCAATGGAGGCAATTGTATGTTTCTAGCAGGGCATTACAGGGGCTTGCTCATTCGTAATTGCTCTCTTATCTGACTTGGTGGCCACAGCAATCCAAACTGTATTGAGCAAAGCACATAAACAGTTTCGTCTAACTTCATTATGAAAGTAGGAATACTTGCTTAATTTTCAGTGGATTGTACTGTTGCTCTGGCATTAGCAATGCTGACAGTTTATTTGCCAGGATTCAGGAAGAGCGATGCTGTAAGCACACAGCCTAATTGTGATCATTAAGCACACTATTTAGCAGTTATAATATGAAGTGCAAATATTGCTCATGGTTTTGCTGACTCACAATGAAATTCTCAGTATTTGCTCAAAGCAACAATCTCATGGTAAATTAAAGAACTGGGTACTTCAGTTTGCTCTCTTTCCCTGCTCCTGCCTTCAAATTCAAAGAAAAGCTGCTGTCAGTGTATTAAGGTTTTAGAGGCCAAAAGCTGGCCCCTCACTTTGGGAACAGCCACTCCACTGTCCCTTTATAATCAGTTTTATTTGGTTTGCTAACAGACTGACCTGGAACAGGTTTACCAATGCAGAGCATCAAATCCAGCACATAAAGCTGTGCTCCTGCTGCTGTACGATGTACAGCACTTTAAGACCGAGGCCATTTGTACAGGGATTTCTGTGCATTTGCTGTGAGGTTGTTCCCAACAGGCAGCAACCTTCACTCCTCAGCCCCTCTCACCAAGCAGTGCAGCACTTTGTACTGGCTGTACTCCAGCCTGCAGCCTTGTTCAGGCTGTGGGCTGCTGTGGCTTCACTCTCTAGCTGGGCAGGAAACTTTCACAAGGCACTGAGCAGAGCCTGGTGAGGTACCTCCTGCTTACCAAGTTGTTCCATACCATCTCTGAACTAAATTAGCACCTATGTCAGTGTGACTGATTTGCACTGGACATGTTGGAACAAAACTTCATACTGCTATGTTGTCCATCAGGTCACAGTTAAATTAATGAGTGCTGTGAGAGCTTTTCTGGTTTGTACAAATAAATTCCTGAGCTGAAGGCACTACTTGCCAGACTTTGCTGACAAGCTTCATGTTAGGGTAGATCTGATCTAGGATCTTCCACGAGACATTGTTTCCCTCTTCACTTATTTTCAGACAATAACAGAGCTCTGGCATGTAAATCTGTTTGCATTTACTCCTTATGCCCCAACACTTCTGCAACAGCACCCTGACCCCGAGCCCCCTGCAGTATCCAAAACCCTGTGGCCAAGGGGCTCCCTGCTTAAGGTCAAAGGACTGCTGGTGTTTCAGACATATTCTCTCTCCACATTTATAGCTTCACTACAGGTAGTTCTGTGTGTGAACAAGTGCCATAGATCTGAAGGATTGTTTCCCTCTCTGGGTACCCAGGGACAGTCTAAGCCCCTGCAGAAGAGGTAAGCCCATGCCTCTTTCCCACCCTCTTCTCCCCTCCTCAGCCTTATTGCAAGGTAACTGCCAACATTAAGTGCTTTTTAAGGCTTCACTACCAGTGACTTTTTCAAGCCAAGTCCACAAGAAGGAAAAATACCTCTTAGCCATAAGCTTGCTGATTTATTGCTGAATGAGATTATTGCTTTAAGTGAAACCGCGTGAAGCAAAAGGCATAGAAAGGATTTAGGCTGCACCTGGCTACGGCAGACAGCATTAAAGGGAGCTTAGTTATCGCAGTTATTCCCTTTGCTCTTCCTTCCAGGCAAGGGAAATGTTGATTTGTTCTGGGACTGGGAGAGTTTGCTCGCTAGGAAGGTGAATGGCTCAAGCAGTGTTTTCCGATCTGTCACAGTCACTTCCCACAGTCTCACTTTCTCAGCCCTTGCCCATTGCTGTGCTGCTTCTGTTTCCACTTGTCGTTGCTCCAGGAGGTCCGTTTTATTTCCCAGTATGATAACTGTTACCTACAAATGAAACGAACGGGTGAGCTTTGTGCAAAGAGCATCCACTGTTCACAGTGCCTGTATACAAACAGCAGACATCAGTAACACAATTCAGGCCTGTTCTTTAGCTTAGCACTGGCTCAAATTGCATACAATTTGGAAGGGTAGGGTCTGGGGTTCAAACCTGCCTTGTCTAG